TCTTAGACTTAGTACTATGATTTAAAATACATAGACTTTGTCGTTTTCACGGGAAAAGACTAACCGGTAACGCGTGTTAGGCGTAGGCTTATCTCTAATTAGAGATTGAGATAAAGTCCCCAAACATGGATTTTGGTTCCCTTTTCGCGACAAAAGACTAACTGGCAACGCGTGTTAGGCGTAGACTTATCTCTAATTAGGGATCGAGATAAAGTCCTCCATGCATGAAAGACATGGATTTTTGGTGCTACGATGTTGAATACGTAAACTTGGTTATTTTTGCGGGATTAAACCACCTGGCAGCATGTGTTAGATGCATGCTTATCTCTGTTTAGGGGTCGAGATAAATTCCCCCAGACATGGATTCTGGTTCCCTTTTTATGGTAAAAGACTAACCGACAACGCGTGTTAGACGTAGACTTATCTCTAATTAGGGATCGAGATAAAGTCTTTGTAAGGACCTTGAATTTTTGATATTGCTTTAAATAAATTTTCTCGTACTTTAAATATTAAATTATTATTTTACCTGATTTTCTAAAATTTGCTATGATTTAATAATATAGTTTTATATTTATTTAACAAATTTATAATTTATAAATTTAATTGTTACGGTAAAGACTTTTAAATTAATAATTAATTATTCATTATTGTTATTAATATTTACTATGCAAAGCATAATATACAATAATGTTTATTTTTATTGTGATGTAATACACAGAGTATATATGCAATAATAGATACACATATCATAATAAATGTTGTAGTTATAAATGAGTAGGATAGTTATATACAAGAGCTTGAATTTTTTGTGAACCCATTTGAGAATAATCCAAAATTGTTGCTTCCCGTCAAATCCCCAACAACTATTTCTCCCTCATCACGTTCTCTCCCTCCTCACTTTTCCAAGAAGACTGCTGCCCACGCGCATCCTCACTCATTATTTTATTTTATTTTTTTATTCAAAAATTTTCTATTTAAGACCCTGCCTCTCTTCTCGTGCTCACACTCTCTCTATCTCTCATCATCTCAATATCTCCCTCTCCCTCTCTCTCAATCAGCTCACACTCTCAATCACTCTTCTCTCTCTCTCTCTCTTTCTCTCTTCAATTAAACCTAACCCAGCTCCCCAAGCTCCGCCCTCAGTTATCGCCCTCGACCCTCACCCAGCTCGCCGCCCCACACCGCCAGCCTCAGGCCATGCTTCAACGTCGGCGCCCAACTGCGAACGCCACCAGCGAGCTCCAGCCAACTGACTCGCCGCCGAACGCCCTTCGCCCGTGCTCCGTCCTCCGTTCGCCGCCAAGAAGCCCCACCTACCGACCTCCTCTCTCCTCTCTCTTGTTCTTCCCCACAAAACCCAGCAGCACCACCTCCACCCTTTCCTGCTCGTCGCCGACAGCCAGCCGCCGCCTGAGCGCCACCTCCCAGCAGACCTCACCCATCCCAGTCTGGCCCCCTACCGCACCTCCACCCCCTCTCCCGCTGTCCCAAACAGTCCCTCGTCCACCACGCCGCCGCTCAGCTCCGCCGTCGCCCTCAACCAGCCCAGTCGAGCTTCCCGACTCCTCTCCTTAGCCTTTGCTCGACGCCCTGACCCGCTGCCAGTCTCCTCTCGCTGCTCCTCCTCAACCACATCCCTACCTAAGCTCCTCCACCATCTTTTCCCCTTGCCGACGACCCTTGAACCTTGCCCGGACCACCTCCGCCCTCCTCCTGTTCGCCAACAACCGCCAACCTCCACCGCGGTCGCCTCCCGAGCTCGCCCAACTCCCCAGATCCGAGTCCATCCGTGCCGAGCACCTCCTCGGCGCTCGTAGCTAAACGCGGACCCGTATCCTCACACGGTAACGACGTATCGATCGATAATAACCCGAGGTAAGATCCCTATTCTTGCTCAGTACAATTTTAGATTGATAACAGATTAATTATGCATAAGAACTCATTTCTCGAATAATTATTCGTTACAAATATAGAACTGTCGTGAACATATTGAACTGAGAACTATAACGTATAGAACTGTCATGAACAAAATGGACTGTGAACAATAACGTATGACCATTCACATTGTAATACACATACTGTGATGACCTGCACGGATTTATTTGACGAATGATATTAAAAAGTATAAAAAATAATATTTTAATAATAGATACTGTAAAGATAAAATAAAATAAAATTATTTTAGGTTAATTTATAATTTCAAAGAATTTATTTGATAAAATAATCATTTTAAAATAATTATAATAAATTATTTGGTGAAAAATCATTTTAGAGTAATTATAATAAATTAATAGAATTTATTTGATAAAAGAATTATTTTAGAATAATTATAAATAATTTAAAAGAATTTATTTTATAATAAGTATTAATTTAGAATAATTTCAATAATTTAAGAGAGTTTTATAAAAGGAATTATTTTAGAACATTTATAAACAATTTTAAAGGATTTATTTTAGAAAATGGATTATTATGAATTATTCATGATTTATGTTTCTTAATTTTAATTATGTGATATGCTATGATATTGTTGTATATGATTAGTTGCATTTATTACTCTTTGTTACGTTTGAGAACTGATAGAAATTCATGACTAGTGTGGCCTGGTGTGTCCTGTTTAAGACTTAGAAACCTGTGTGTATGTTAACTGTGGCCTGGTGTGTCCTGTTTAAGACTTAGAAACCTGTGTGTATGTTAACTTAGAAAAACAAGAGAGTTAGGGTGGGAAAGTCATGGTTCATGTGATCGGATAAGGCTGTTGATGTATCTTCTAGGCTCGCGCCAGTGGTTGGTGTCGCCACTGGGGTTGGTTTGTAGGGCTAAAGTGAAATGTGTACATCACTTTGATCAGTGGAAAATTTATTTCGTCACCCGGGTCTGTTTGAAGTTTGAACCAGGCAGAAAACAGATTGCGTGTAGTCCTCTAGGCCGCATGTGTAGCGGGATTGGATACACGTAGGGGATTTGTGAACAGTCAGTTATCCAATGATATGAACGTTGACTCTGTGTGAACACGTAGGGGATTTGTGAACAGTCAGTTATCCAATGATATGAACGTTGACTCTGTGTGAGATATGTACAAGTGACCTGCTATACAATGGCTAGTAGTATGACCTCGTTACTTGGATGATTAGTCTGATCGCTAGTTGCATGACCTTGTTGTAGACGTCAAAAAATGCTTACAGACATCCAAATATCACTCAAGGCAAAGAGAAGACGATAAACGCCATTCTCTTAATCAGAGGGGATCATTCAAAGGAAGCGAGACAACATGGAAGAATAATGTACACACCAACAGGCAGTACATGGCGGCGCGACAAGCAGTTAAACCACGAAAAAGGTGGTTAAAGGTCGTGGGAGAACAGTTTCAAACACGAGGAAACGTGAGTGTAACTGCCCCTTTAGCCGCGGCAGCCCACACTGTCGCGCCAATAGCCGCGGCAGTGTTGACTGACGCGGCCAAAGAGTATTTGTTTGGTCAGTTATCTCGCCCCCATTTCCACTGTTATGCACTGCTACCCCTATAAATACCTCCCTAGACACGAAATAAAGAAGAGAGAGCAGATTGGAGAAGAAAAGGCTTGAGCTTTTGGTGATTTTGAGGAAGAGAGAGAGAATTTTCATCTTTCATAAACATCACTTGGTGATTCCTAGAGATCTAAGCTCAGACTTGATCTTTGGAAGAGTGAACATCTTACATCGATAAGATATTCGCTTCAAATCCCTACTTCGATAAATGAAGGAAGGATCTTTAAACACCCTCACGATCTGTGAATCGGTGGTCCACGAGCCAAAGCACTCCCGGCACAGGCAAAGTCCCACAAAACAGAATTTGATAAACGATTTCTATGTTATTTTCTCGAGAGTTGTAATTTTCTCAATTTTTCATTGTAATTCTTTGTAAACGATTGAAGTTTTAATGGAATCGATAATGGAAACGACTTTCGTTGAAAACACTTGTTACTGATCGATTTTAGATTCTTCTGATTATTATATTCTAGTGGTAGATTTCAGTTAGATTATTACTATTATTATTATTTTTGTTCTTGCATTGGTCGTTTGACCGTTTCTGCTTTCCTTGTGGGATCTTGCCGTGTGCCATACACGCTGACGTACACCTGTTTTCTCTAGTGTACGTCAGATTTAGAGGACGGACAGGTCCAGTATGATGATGCATTAGAGCAGGAGTATGCCCAGCCGGAATGTCTTCCAGGTGGAACAGAAGAACAGACGGAAACTTAGCCTTTTCTTTTACGTAGTCACTGATGGACACTAGATTACTTATGTAGTACCTTATCCTTTAGTCTTTCGAGGGACTTAGTTATTTTTGCAGTACTTCCTTCTTATTTTGTTGGACTATGTATTTTCTTATTTTAGTTAGACTATTTTGTAATAAGGGCATGTTTGGCTCAAACTTTGTGTCTTGGATAATATTCTATTTGTGATATGTCGCTTTTTTTATTCTGAGTTGTTCATTATATTCTCGCTACTGTGATTGGGGACCTGTGCCTTCGCTTTATATTTGTTTGACACTTAGCGTATTAGATTGAGCAGAAAGGGTCTAGTACTTATTTCTCCTCAGCCTAATACGTCACGGGCTTGTTCACGTTACGATTCCCTGGTATTGGGAAGCTGGCGTGACAGGTTTTTCTGGTGGCCCATGCAGGTCACGGACCCGATCACGGTCCCGATTTTCTACTAGTGAAAATATAATGAATAATTTAGACGCATATCATATTTCATCCGTAAGACTGTACTTAGCCCTTATCTTAGTATTTTGAAAAAAATAATATATTTTTGTCCCTATCTTACTCAATTTCGATTTGATTTTGACTTGATTTTCTGGGTCATCCTATTATAATTTTGATCCTCGTTGCCTTCCCTTCAGAACCATGGTGGGTACACGTAACAATGGTAACCCGTCTAGTAGTAATGTCCCGCCTCCCGAAGTGGACCCGCGCCAACTTTTGGCAATGATTCTGGGACTGGCGATGAATTAGCAGCATTTGGCTGGGCACTTGCAGCGGGAGCCTCACCAGCCTCCCCCTCGTACAGAACCTGGTGTTAGAGAGTTTCGGTATAGACGACCTCCTTCTTTCTCCGGTGCCGAAGGACCACTAGCAGCAGAAGAGCTCCTGAAGGTTACCGAGACTATCCTTACGGTGACCCGCATTGCCCCTGCAGAGTGGGTGGACCTTATGGATGTCCAGCTCACTGATACGGCTCGAATCTGGTGGGCTGCTAAGAAGACACACCTGGAGAGGCCGATTCTGTGGGAAACGCTCACGGAACGCTTCAATAAGAAGTATTTTCCACAGTCAGCCCGGGATGAGCTTCTGCGTAGATTTGTTGAGCTAAAGCAGGGAGGACGAAAAGTTGATGAGTATGAAGCTGAGTCCTCTTCTCTTAGTCGGTATGCTCCCCATCTGGTTACCGACCCGACTATTAGGAAGCATCAGTTCCAGAAGGGTCTGGACAAGTATATCAGGTTGGCTCTGGCTGGTAGAGCACTTACGTCTCATGACACCGTACTGGATGCAGCGCGTGAGATCGAGAGTGTTCAGAAGGAACCAGAAGATCCACATGTGGTTCAGAGTAGGACACCAGTAGCTCCATCCCAAAATGTCGAGCGTCCCCCTCTGAGACAGCAGCAGGCTCCGCAGAGGCAACAGTTTTCCCAACGACAACCACTTCATCTAGGCCACCCCTATCAGCACCCTGGAGTGCAGACTCTTGGCCAGCCTTCGATAAAGTGTTCCTATTGTAGCCACGTTGGGCATACTTAGCAGGAGTGCCCCAGGCGTCTTCATCTGTGCTTCAACTGTGGGTCCCCCGGGGCAGCAGGCCCGCTTGCCCCCACCTCTAGTCCGGGCAGCTCTTTCAGCTCCACCTCGACCTGCTCCAGTAGCACCAGCTCAGCAAGGACCCTATCCCCGAGCAGGGCCTCTACTTCCTCAGAAGCAGTTTTATCAGCAGGCACAGGGGTAGCAACCTCCACGTCAAACATTCATGATGTCAGCTGTGGAAGCTGAGGCGAACGATCCGGTTATCACTGGTAAGAACTGTTCATTCTTAGTTTTACTTGCATATGAATTTTTCCTTATTTAGCATTACCTGATGATAGCATGATAGGATTTGTTATGAGTACTAAGTTTAGTCGCGTTTACCTCCTCCTGTAATAGGCAAGGTTCTTGTTTCCTCCGTTCCTGCTTTATCACTCTTTGATTCTGGGGCTTCCCATCATTTCTTATCTCGTCGATTTGCGACCGCCCACTCTCTTCCTATAACTCCTCTGACCACAGACGGGAATATCAATACTGGCAGTGGTGTTTTAGTAGCGTCCAGTGGTTATGAAACATGTCCGGTGGTCATCAGCGGGAGAGAGCTCTTTGCAGATTTCCTGGTGATTGATTTGCTAAGCTTCGATGCAGTTTTTAGAATGGATTGGTTGGGGTCATTCTTTACCACTATTGATTGTCACCGTCGGAGTGTAGTATTTGAGATACCGGATCACCCGAGGTTTGAGTTCCTCAGTGGTAGTACATCGGCCGGACCGGTAGAGTACAGAGCTAGACCGAAGAAGGCGACGTTTGCTGCCATGCAGGTGGAAACCGAGATGCTAATTGTAGTTCGGGAATTTGAAGATGTGTTACCCGATGATATTTACGGATTGCCACCAGATCGAGCAATTGAGTTTTCCATAGAACTGAAGCTTGGAGTTGCTCCGATCTCCAAGACCCCTTATCGTATGCCTTCGACTGAGTTGGCCGAGCTTCAAACTCTGTTGGATGATCTTTTGCAAAGAGGCTTGATACGACCTAGTGTATCGGCCTGAGGAGCACCTGTATTACTTGTGAATAAGAAGGATGGATCCAAGAGAATGTGCATTGACTACCGGGAGTTGAATGATGTGATAGTGAAGAATAAGTATCCACTTCCCCGTATTGATGATATCTTCGACCAATTAGGAGGATCGAGAGTATTTTCTAAGCTGGATCTGCGAAGTGGATATCACCAAGTGAAGGTCAAGGACTCTGATGTCCCCAAGACTGTGTTCCGGACGAGATATGGACATTATGAGTTCTTAGTGATGCCGTTTGGTGTGACTAATGCGCCAGCGACATTTATGAACCTAATGAATCTGGTTTTCTATGATGTGCTGAACAAGTTTATAGAAGTCTTTATTGATGATATCCTAGTGTACTCTAAGAGTGAAGCGGAACATGCGGAGCATTTGCGGTACGTGCTGAAGACCTTGAGAGAGCATCGGCTATTCGCCAAGTATAGTAAGTGTCAATTATGGCTAGACCGCATTGCATTTCTAGGACACGTGGTTTCAGGAGACGGCATATCTGTGGACCCGGATAAAGTAGCTGCTGTTAAGGATTAGCCTACCCCTAAGTCGGTGTCCGACATTAAGAGCTTCATAGGATTAGCTGGATATTACCGACGTTTCATCAAGGATTTCTCGAAGATTGCGGAACCGATGACGCGTCTTATGAAGAAGGATATTAAATTCATCTGGTCCGACGCTTGTGAGCAGGCGTTTGAGGAGTTAAAGTATCGACTGATCTCGGCCCCAGTCTTGACGATACTAGATAAGAGTGAGAACTTTGAGGTGTTTTGCGACGCATCAAGTAGAGGATTGGGATGCGTTCTTTAGCAAGATGGTCATGTAGTAGTGTATGCTTCTCGTCAGTTGAAGAAGCATGAGCAGAATTACCCTACCCACGACCTAGAGTTGGCAGCTGTGATTTTTGCTCTTAAGCTTTGGAGACATTATTTGTTGGGGGAGCAAGTGAAAGTGTTTACGGATCATAAGAGTTTGAAGTACATTTTTACTCAGAAGGAGCTCAACATGAGGCAGCGTCGATGGATAGAACTGATGGTAGATTACGACATTGACCTTCAGTACCACCCTGGCAAGGTCAATGTAGTACCAGATGCTTTGAGCCGTTTACCAGCAATCATGACCCTCACAGCTCAGTGGAGACTTCAGCAGGAAGTGAGGGATATGAGTATAGAAGTTCTACTTCCAGGAGTCACCGCTTCCTTGATGAATCTTCAAATTCAATCGACATTGGTCCAGCGAATCAAGGCTGCACAATCAGGTGACTCATTTCTTCAGAAGTGCAGAGAGTTAGCATCGACTGGTCTTCGGTCGGAATTTATTGTTCATGAGGACGGATCCTTACGATTTGAGAGTCGTATCTGCATATCAGAAGTAGATATTCGAGAAGAATTATTACGGGAAGCTCACAGCTCACCGTACTTTATTCACTATGGAGGTATGAAGATGTACAAGGATCTGTAACTAAACTTTTGGTGGCGTGGTATGAAGAGAGATGTGGCTCGTAGTGTGGCAAAGTACCTTGTATGTCAGCAGGTGAAGGCAGAGCATCAGCACATCGCAGGTCTATTGCAGCCGTTGCCTATTCCGGAGTGGACATGGTAACATGTCACCATGAACTTCGTTACTGGCTTACCTCGGAGCACTAGACAGAATGATGCTATTTGGGTGATCTTAGATCGATTAACCAAATCGGCTCACTTTATTCCATTTCGAGTAGGACAGTCAACGAAACATCTTGCTTAGAGATACATGGAGGAGATTGTACGATTGTACAGAGTTCCAGTATGCATCGTTTTAGATCGTGATACCCGATTTACCTCAGAATTCTGGAAGAGTTTGCAGGCGAGCCTTAGGACCAATCTCAGTTTTAGCACAGTTTATCATCCTCAGACTGATGGGCAATCGGAAAGGACCATTTAGATTTTAGAGGATATGCTTAGAGCATGTATGCTTGACTTTCACGGGTCGTGGGAAGATCACTTTATTTGATGGAGTTTTCATACAATAATGGCTTCTAGGCTAGCATTGGAATGGCTCCTTTCGCGACATTATATGGGAGGAAGTGTCGCTCTCCTTTGAGTTGGGACGATATTGGTGAACGAGAGATTTTTGGGCCGGAGTTGATTAACAAGTCAGTTGATGCTGTCAGAATCATTCGGGAAATACTTCGCATAACGCAGGACCGATTCAAGCATTGGGCGGATGCGAAGTGTCAACACTTGGAGTTTCAGCCAGGAGACCATGTGTTCCTAAAGATTTCTCCCAACCGAGGTAACATTCGCTTTGGAAGGCGTGGGAAGTTGAGTCCATGATATGTTGGACCTTTCGACATATTAGAGAGAGTTGGAGAAGTGGCGTATCGACTTGCATTACCACCCGCATTGGCTGGAGTGCATGACGTATTCCACATTTCTCAGTTGTGGAGATATGTCGAAGATCCGAGCCATATCGTAGATTTCTCGGAGATTGAGGTGCTACCTGATTTGACATACAAGAAACAACCTGTAGTGATTTAGGACCAAAGAGAGAAGACTCTCCGAAACAAAACCGTCACGCTTGTCCGTGTGATGTGGCACCCAGATTCTCCTAGCGAGTCGACTTGGGAGACCGAGTCTGAAATGAGACAACGATACCCTCATCTGTTTCCTGAATCTTAGTTGTCATATCTTGTACCTTACCATGTATCGTTCTTGTCTTACCTTCTCCTCTGCTTATGGAGATGCAGTATTTTTTTTTTGAATTCTTCTCTATATGTGTTGAGTTGAGTCTGCCTTTCCATATCTTTGTCCTTGGATTCTTTGCGTATCACTCTTATTTTAATTCCGAAGACAGAATTTAGTTTAAGTGGGGTAAGATGTAAGGACCTTGAATTTTCGATATTAGTTTAAATAAATTTTTTAGTACTTTAAATATTAAATTATTATTTTACCTGATTTTCTAAATTTTGCTATGATTTAATAATATGGTTTTATATTTATTTAACAAATTTGTAATTTATAAATTTAATTGTTACGGTAAAGACTTTTAAATTAATAATTAATTATTCATTATTGTTATTAATATTTACTATGTAAAGCATAATATACAATAATGTTTATTTTTATTGTGATAATACACAGAGTATATATGCAATAATAGATACACATATCATAATAAATGTTGTAGTTATAAATGAGTAGGATAGTTATATGCAAGAGCTTGAATTTTTTGTGAACCCATTTGAGAATAATCCAAAATTGTTGCTTCCCGTCAAATCCCCAACAACCATCCCTCCCTCATCACGTTCTCTCCCTCCTCACTTTTCCAAGAAGACTGTTGCCCACGCGCATCCTTACTCATTATTTTATTTTATTTTTTTATTCAAAAATTTTCTATTTAAGCCCCTGCCTCTCTTCTCGTGCTCACACTCTCTCTATCTCTCATCATCTCAATATCTCCCTCTCCCTCTCTCTCTCAATCAGCTCACTCTCAATCACTCTTCTCTCTCTCTCTCTCTTTCTCTCTTCAATTAAACCTAACCCAGCTCCCCAAGCTCCGCCCTCAGTCATCGCCTCGACCCTTCACCCAGCTCCCGCTGCCTCACGCCAGCTCAGCCATTGCTTCGATCCGCGCGCCCAGCATCGAACGCCGCCTAGGCGAGCCTCCAGCCACCGCACCTGCCTACGAACTGCCTCCGCTTCGCCGCTCCTCTCCGTTTGCGCCGCCAAGAAGCCCACCCCCGGACCTTCCTCTCTCCTCTCTCTGTTCTTCCCACAAACCCAGCCAGCCACCACCTCCCCGCCCTTCCTACTTCGTCGCCGACACGCAGCCGCCGCCTGTGCCGCACCTCCCAGCCAGACCTCACCAGCACAGCTTCGGCCCTAGCGCACTTTCCACCCCCATCTTCCCGCTATCCTAATAATCCCTCGCTCCACCACGCCACCGCTCAGCTCTGCGTCGCCCTTAACGCAGCCCAGTCGAGCTTCCCTGAGCTCCTGCTCCTCAGCCTTTGCTCGACGCCCTGCACCGCTTCCAGTCTCTCTCGCTGCCTGCTCCTCGACCAACAGCCCACCAAGCTCCTCACCATCTGTCCCTCGGCCAACGACCCTTTGAAGCGCGCCCTGGACCACCTCCGCCCTCCTCCTGTTCACCAACAACCGCCAACCTCCACTGCGGTCGCCTCCCAAGCTCACCTAACTCCCCAGATCCGAGTCCATCCGTGCCGAGCACCTCCTCGCCGCTCGTTGCTAACCGCGAACCCGTATCCTCGCACGGTAACGATGTATCGATCGACAATAACCCGAGGCAAGATCCCTATTCTTGCTCAGTACAATTTTTAGATTGATCACAGATTAATTATGCATAAGAATTCATTTCTCGAATAATTATTCGTTACAAATATAGAACTGTCGTGAACATATTGAACTGAGAACTATAACGTATAGAACTGTCGTGAACAAAATGGACTGTGAACAATAACGTATGACCATTCACGTTGTAATACATATACTGTGATGACCTACACGGATTTATTTGACGAATGATATTAAAAAGTATAAAAAATAATATTTTAATAATAGATACTGTAAAGATAAAATAAAATAAAATTATTTTAGATTAATTTATAATTTCAAAGAATTTATTTGATAAAATAATCATTTTAAAATAATTATAATAAATTATTTGGTGAAAAATCATTTTAGAGTAATTATAATAAAATAATAGAATTTATTTGACAAAAGAATTATTTTAGAATAATTATAAATAATTTAAAAGAATTTATTTTATAATAAGTATTAATTTAGAATAATTTCAATAATTTAAGAGAGTTTTATAAAAGGAATTATTTTAGAACATTTATAAACAATTTTAAAGGATTTATTTTAGAAAATGGATTATTATGAATTATTCATGATTTATGTTTCTTAATTTTAATTATGTGATATGCTATGATATTGTTATATATGATTAGCTGCATTTATTACTCTTTGTTACGTTTGAGAACCTTTAGAAATTCATGACTAGTGTGGCATGGTGTGTCCTGTTTAAGACTTAGAAACTTGTGTGTATGTTAACTTAGAAAAACAAGAGAGTAGGGGTGGGAAAGTCATGGTTCATGTGATCGAATAAGGCTGTTGATGTATCTTCCAAGTTCACACCTAGGCCTGTCCATCCGGGCCGGCCCGGCCCGGCCCGGAAATCTGGGCCCGGGCCGGGCAAAACCAGAGCCCGGGCCCGGACCCGGGTACCCCAGGCCGGGTTCCGGGCCGGCCCGGTTTTTTCTTTTTTTAAATTTTTTATCAAATTTTTTTAATTTTATTTAAATTATACAAAAAAACAAAAAAAATAATAAAAAATAATAATTTTATTAATCACTTTAAATGACATAAATTACAAATAAAAAATTATAAAAATAAATTCTTTATTAATAATTAATAAATAATTTACAAATTACAAGTATAAATTTATTTTGGAATTCATCGCATCACAATAGATAAGTACATCCCAACTAGATTTTTTTAAATTTCTTTTCTTTTCTTTTTTTTTATAAAAAATACTAAAAATTAGTTTAGTATTATTATATTTTATATAATTATGTATTAGTATATACTTACAAATTATTATGTAACTATATATTATATATACATATATTATATATAAATATATTGTATATATTTATAAGTTGTAACTTGAGAGAGAAAGAATCGCATAAGTAGCCGTTGCCCGTTGGGCCATTGGGGAAGAAGTAGCCGTTGTAATATACTATACTTATATATACTTATATACTAAGAGAGAGAGTATACACCTACACACACACACATATTATACATATATAAGAGAGAGTATACTTATATAAGAGAGAGTATACTTATATATACTAAGAGAGAGTATATTAGTATATATATATATACACACATATATTATACATATATAAGAGAGTGTATACTTATATATACTTATATAAGAGAGAGTATACATATATAAGAGAGAGTATACTTATATATACATATATACTAAGAGAGAGAGTATATACATACATACATACATACATACACATACATTATACATATATAAGAGAGAGTATTCTTATATATACTTATATAAGAGAAAGTATACTTATATATACTTACATAAGAGAGAGTATACTTATATATACTTATATACTAAGAGAGATTGGTTTGTAGGGCTAAAGTGAAGTGTGTACATCACTTTGGTCAGTGGGAAATTTATTTCGTCACCCGGATTCTGTTTGAAGTTCGAACCAGGCAGAAAACGGATTGCGTATAGTCCTCTAGGCCACATGTGTAGCGGGATTAGATACACGTAGGGGATTTGTGAACAGTTAGTTATCCAATGATATGAATGTTGACTCTGTGTGAGATATGTATCAGTGACCTGTTATACAATGGCTAGTAGTATGACCTCATTACTTGGATGATTAGTCTGATCGCTAGTTGCATGACCTTGTTAACGATCGATTTTAGATTCTTCTAATTATTATATTCTAGTGGTGGATTTTAGTTAGATTATTACTATTATTATTATTTTTATTCTTGCATTGGTCGTTCGACCGTTTCTACTTTCCTTGTGGGATCTTGCCGTGTGCCATACACGCTGACGTACACCTGTTTTCTCTGGTATACATCAGATTTAGAGGACGGACAGGTCCAGTATGATGATGCATTAGAACAGGAGTATGCCCAGCCGGAATGTCTTCCAGGTGGAACAGAAGAACAGACGGAAACTTAGCCTTTTCTTTTACGTAGTCACTGATGGACACTAGATTACTTATGTAGTACCTTATCCTTTAGTCTTTCGAGGGACTTAGTTATTTTTGCAGTACTTCCTTCTTATTTTGTTGGACTATATATTTTCTTATTTTAGTTAGACTATTTTGTAATAAGGACATGTTTGGTCCAAACTGTGTCTCGGATAATATTCTATTTGTGATATGTCGCTTTTTTTATTCTGAGTTGTTCATTATATTCTCGCTACTGTGATCGGGGACCTGTGCCTTCGCTTTATATTTGCTTGACGCTTAGCGTATTAGATTGAGCAGAAAGGGTCTAGTACTTATTTCTCCTCAGCCTAACACGTCGCGGGCTTGTTCACGTTCCGATTCCCTGGTATTGGAAAGCGGGTGTGATAGTCCCCCATGAATGAAAGATAATGATTTTTGGTGTTACGATATTGAATACATAGACTTGGTCATTTTCACGGGAATGAACCACCCGGCAGCATGTGTTAGATGCATGCTTATCTCTGTTTAGGGATCGAGATAAATTCCCCCAGGCATGAATCTAGTGTCTTTTCCACGGTGAAAGATTAACTA